TTCAGGCTGGACACAGTGGCTCAAGCCTGTAATCCTACCACTTTGGGAGGCTAAGGCAGGTGAATTACGAGGTCAGGAGTTTGAGACCAGCCTGGGCAGCATGGTGAAACGCTGTCTCTACTAAAAATACAAAAAATTAGCTGGGTGTGGCGGTGCATGTCTGTAGTCCCAGCTACTCCGGAGGCTGAGGCAGGAGAATCGCTTGAATCTGGGAGGTGGAGGCTGCAGTGTCTCTCGATTGTGCCACTGCACTCCGGCGTGAGTGACACAGCAAGGCTCTGTCTAAATATAAATAAATAAATTTCAAAAAATGTCATGGGTAACAAGAGATGAGGCACACAAATGTTCAGTGATACGCTGGAACTGGTTCACACCAGCTCTCTAAAGCTAATCATTAAATTTTCAGGAATTTGAGAGCTGGTCGCTAAACAGCCTTTATTAAAAACTCAATTATACTAACATACAATCAGTAAAGGTAGTAAGTACTCAAAACTTCTCTCTTCCTAATTATTTTACATTTTACTACTATCCATGCTCAGCTATGGTGGGCTGTGTGCCTCTTCCCAGCTCTGCTTCAGTGACGTCATTTTAGTGATCCAACAAAAATCAGCCACAGTGGCAGTGTTTACACTGTGGGAACCGGCGATGCTGCCAGCCAGCGCTTCCATGTCTGGGAACTGAATGGTGTACCTTCATAGTATAGCACACCAAGAACCAAACCACTGGCCCACAAAACATCTGAAGGTCTGAAGCAAATGTTTACTAGGAAGATGAATAGGTTAAGAAGTGTAGAAACATGCCTTTAAGAAATCCTTCTCAAAATTGTGTAAGGGCTGAGGCTTTTTTTTTCCCAAAGCTATAGTTGTTCTGCAAACATGACTTTCATTACAAATATCAGTTACTAAAGTGTCCATCATTTATAGAACAACCTGTACACCATTACTCCTAGACAAAAACAAATGTGTTGACTAGATTGAGATGCAAATTCTGAAGAGTGGGAGAGATCCCTTTCTCTCTCTTTCAAACTTCTGGAAAGAGGAGCTTATTCTCAATCTATGTTTGCTCACCCCCTCGTCAGGCTTGGCTTCTGCCTCCACCATTTGACTGAAACTGCTCAAAGGCAACCCTTGACCTCCTTACTGCTAAATTCAATGGCTTCTCTTCAGTCTTCATTTCTACGGGCTCTCTGGTTTGTTTCTGCCTCCTCCATTAGACTGAGTTAACAGAACAGAAATCCTACCTTCCATACTAGGCTTGGCCTAGCACAATGTCTAGGCCTCCTAGATGCTCAGTAATTGTTTGCTCAGTGGCTGGAAATCTCTGTGACCTTGGGCATGCCACCTCACTTCCAGGGATATCTGTATTCTCAGACATGAAAAGGTGAACTATGTGGGACCCCTTCTTTTTTTCCTTCAGTTTGTCGAGAATCACCCATAAGGGTTTTGCAAGGGCTAAGTCTCCCTATTTCTTTCTTTCTTTGAGACAGAGTCTCACTCTGTTGCCCAGGCTGGAGTACAGTGGCGTGATCTCAGCTCACTGTAACCTCTGCCTCCCGGGTTCAAGCGATTCTCTTCCCTTAGCCTCCTGAGTAGCTGGGACTACAGGCACATGGCACGATGACTGGATAATTTTCATATTTTTAGTAAAGACGGGTTTTCACCATGCTGGCCAGGCTGGTCTCAAACTCCTGACCTTGTGATCTGCCCACCTTGGCCTCCCAAAGTACTAGAATTACAGGCGTGAGCCACCACTATAGAGCCAACTCTATTTCAAGTGATTATTATAAGTGGATGTGTCCACTTTATTAGCAGGCAAACTCCTGGATTCTCACCTTCTCTTCGGTTGTTGGGCCTAAGTCCCAAAGCTATCCCTTTACCTTCTGTTATTTCTTGGCTCAGAGTCAAGCTAAGTGACCTTGAATAAGTTACATGGCCATCTTCCCAAGCTACACAATTGGAATGAATGGGAGCTGTGCAAGACAAGCCGGCAAGTGCTGAGAACTCCTGTGAGACTGTAAACTGCAGGCACTGGAGCTACCTCCCCATACTTGAGCTATGCATATTTTATCTTCATAACATTTCTCCCCTGGAGTTGATCCCCTTCAACTTCTTCATCATTTCGGTTGCTTGCACCGAATTCCCTCAAGTCTAAAATCCTTTTTTTTTCCTGGAGTTGCAGAAATCAGGACCAAACAGTATTCCAGAAGCCACTTTCTACTCCAGCACTATAGACTTTACAGAGGGGGAGGGATCATCTTGCTAATGGCTCAGTGGCATAAAGACACCATCAGTCAACAACATTCAAGTTCCTGTTCTCATCTGGAGGTCAAGGCTTCCAGTTCTCCCAGCTCATTATCCCAAATACCGATCGTCCTACATTTGCCTTCTTGCTCACTGTCTCCATGAGGTGTCCACCTATTGGGTCAAAGGCCCCAACATGGAGGGGTCACCTCCGAAGTTAAAAGGGGGAAAAACGCATTCACCTTGCACATACACGTACATAAAGAGCAGTCCAACGATACTCACCTGAATGTTAGATTAGTCAGCAAGCCATTAGAAATGAATCTAAATGATATAGGGCAGAGTTCAGTGACAAGTCATGAGATAAAGGAAACACACAGGGCTCAGGCTGATTAAAAAGATAATTAGTTGTGGAAAATAAGGTTGGGCTCCAGCCAAGAATTTGTCTTTGACAAAGATAAACCAAAGGCTTTGATACAGTCATTTTCGAGGGGATTTAGTTGTTCTTTTATAAGAGTTGAAGAGCAAGAACAAAGCAATAGTTTCAAAGTGCAGCTCAACTCCCCCTGTTTGTTGTTCTGCTCATAAACATACAAGCTGTTTCCTTTCATCTGCACAGGCTCATACAATATGGAGATCCCACAATAGATTTACACCAGATTTAAAACTGAATGTGCAGAGCTGTGGTCAAGCCAGAGATCTTCTGGCCTAAGAAAGGTCTCAATGTCCCTGGCTAGAATAAAAGAAAAAAAAAAAAACAAACAAAAAAGGCAATCTCCTCAAGACCTAAAAGGCTTTAACAGTGAAAAGGAAAAGAGGAGCATCTGTTATCTCAATTGTTAAAATCCACAAAGGTGTTTGAGATGTCTAGTAACAATGCAAAGAGCTTTAATCTTTACATAGGAAATGGGACAAATTTTCCATAGGTCACCAGATATATGGGAGAAGCTGACAACACAGGGGAAGGGGAGATGAGGATGATGCCAGATACTCTATTTGGACCTGAAACTGCAACTCCAATCATTCTGTGAAACTACTTGACTGAAATACTGTTTTGATAAATAAGCCATATCCTTGTGGAATTGAAATCTCCAACTGTTTCACTGGCACGGACATCTCTGCAGTGACAGCACATGCCCCAGATTGTGGAGTTAACTTGAATTAAATTTCAGATGTTGGGGGAGCTAAGGGAGGGGGATGGTGGCAGTGGGAGGTTTATGAACAGTATGCTGGGGCTCTGATGTTGTCATAACCAGATGGCTTCAACTGTATCATTTAAAACAAAAACAAACATGTCCAGAAAGAACGAAATGACAGAAGCATCGAGTAGCTTTACCTGTACCTGAAATCCCAACAGCTCTGTACCCACAGTAAAGCCCAAGTTGGAAATTCCATAAATACTGAAGATTCCAGAAGAGACCTTCATCCTGACAGAAGTTAGGTGTCAGGACTGCTGTCCTCCTGAGGGCATAGTCCCTGAACTCACCAGTCCTCCAACCCACAGCTGTCCGTGAATGAAGACGAAGGCAAATCTGAAGCCTGGTTTGTCCTTCTGGAACCTCTGAAGAACAGGCCAGCAGAGGCACCTTTCCAGAGCTTTGTTCTTGCTATTCCGACACGATGGAAGCTTTACTTTCAGTTTTGTACCTAAACATTTCAGAAATGGAACTTCCTCCAGTTAATTACATAATTTTCAGGATACTCCATTAGAAGAGCTGGCATTCAACAGTTGTGTGATTTTAGGCATGTCCCTCCTCTGGGTTTCTGCTTCTCTCATCTACACAGTGGGAAGATGCTATATTTCACCTGTCCTACCAAGTTCATCAAGTTGTTGGGGAGTTCAGATGAAATACTGTATATAAATTTAGTGGGAAAAACCTAAGACAATACGGGTGGGGGAGACTTTGAGTCCAACTGGATCGTTGGACTTGTGTGCTGATCTGGAAAGCTAAGAAAGAGGAGGCACAGGACAGCAGCCAACAGCCAGCACGCAGAACGGGTATTTCCTCACACAGGGGCTGCTTCCCAGGGGAAACCGGGAAGTGCAATGGAGTGGTTTCCCATAAACGAATCCTGCCTTTGATTATAATAGTAACTGATCATATTTATCCATTCTAGAGGTAGTAAGAGAAATCAAAGTTGGAAAATTTAAAAAGTCTAAGGTTCACTGATGGGAAATGGAAGGAAATAGGTTGCGGTTCCATCAAAGGTAAAAAATATACACATTGGCCAAACGATTGATGCATTCTTCAGTATATCCCACTGACCTAACGAGCCACAAAAAAGGAAGACAGGGAGCCTAGAACATTCTTGTGAGCTCAGATATTAGCTTTTCTCAAAACACATCAAGTCAATGACAGAATCAGTCAGAGACAATAATTTCCCTTTATTTAATCTCCACATTTATGTCCCCTGGATCTTTTTATATCTGGTTAGAAGGGAGATGGGGATTAGGTCTTAAAACATACAGGGTGCAGAAAAGCCCACTACCATTACTTGCCTTGGCACAGGTAGGGGCCTGATCCCTCATGAGGATATGGACTGTGAGATACTCAGGGAGGACAAGAGACTGGCAGATGCTGATAGCTCACAAAGAAAATTTGAGATCACGGAGTCTCAACAAATCCCTAAGGCTCATTAGACATTTCAAACATAATCTCTGCAAGCTGAAAACTAGGACTTCAAAATCCCGAAAGCAAGAGATTCAGACCCAAGAGACAAGGCAGGTGAGTGAAACAAAAGACCAGAGATACCACACAGTACAAAATAGTAATTATTTATATTTTCAAAAAGAAAAAAATTAACATTTGGAAGTTTTCCCCTGGAGGAAGAGGGGCTAGTCAGAAGGAACAGAACTGGCTCCTATGCAGGCGGCAAGTCAGGTACAAACAGCTGAGCAATCTGGGCTGGGATTTTATCACACAGCATTTTTAATTAATAAAATTTCCTTCTCTCTTCTTTCATTCTGTTTTTGTGTTTTTTGTTTTTGTTTTTTAGAAAAAGGGACGGGGGAGAAGAAATAAAATCGGAGAAAAATACCAAAAAACATTTTCCACAATATCTAAAAACAGATAACCATAGTTCTTGTCAACACAGCATGAATTCTGGATGAATTATTTTTTCCAGTTTTCAACACCAATGGATTTTTGCAAAAGCCACCACATCAGAACACTCATCTTCCAGATCAAATAACCTTCCCCTTTCGCCTTCACTTGTCATTTTTCATAAAAGCATGAAAGGATGTATTCTGCTCTTGCAAACAGTAAGTGCTAACAACAAGAGAGCTGTTCTGGTACTTGTATGGTGGTGAGGAGTTTTCACAAATATCCAAGCTTTAGCACAGCTGGGAGGACTAAAATTTGTTTCTCTCAGTATAAATACTACTGGAATCCACCAACTGATTTTTGATAAATTCTGCAAAAATCTTTTCTTCTTTCCTTTTCCCTTCTGTTAAAACTCAACGTCCTTTCTTTTTTTTTCCTTTTTGCTCCAGGCACCTGACGATTTGTTCTGCTCAGTCAGATGCAGACAGATTGCTCCAAAGTACCACCACTGGGATGTCCTCGGGCCAGCGCCTAAACTGAATCCCCACAGTATCAAACTCGGCCAGGCCATAGATAACACAGTGAGGCAGCAACAGGGTTTTCATTAGGTTGAACAGCCCCCGAGTCCTGGGCCCTTCCCTCCCCCCATTTCCCCCAAGTTATTTAGTGCTGTTTTAAAAGTCTGGGGCCACAATGCAGTCTCTTCCCCTCACAACAGAGTAAAAGCTCCACAGATTGCGCTGTCTACCTGGTGGTCAGTGGCAGCAACAGTGGCTGCTGCTTCTGGAAAATAAACGGAGTCTTACAACAGGCAGGATCTTAGGATTGCTTCAGGCGTTTGCGTGGGGGTCCCAGAAAAGGGCACTGTGCTGAAGCCAGAGAGCGGTATGCCTCAGCCACCAAGTGGGGATGTGACACCACCATTGACTTCCACCCAGAGGTCTCCAAGACATCCGAAGCATGACTAGGAGAAATGTGGAGAAATGAGTTACCAAAGGGAGTGAGCAAGGGATAGCCTAATTTTCCAGCGTTAGGTATAAAGGGTGTCAACGCAAGAAACAGACAGAACCCTTCATATGCATGAGAATTTGCTTGTTAGACAATGCATAGACTGGTGACTTGCCCGTGGCTGTCGTCATCTGAAAACCAGGACTTTGAGTCACTGTATTCTCAAAAACAAAAAGCAGAATGTTCCCCAGGCCCTCAACACGCCCAATGTTCCTTATATTCACTGGTGATGCCAATCATAAAGAAGGATCCTGGGTTCCCTCGGCCAGACAGTCCCGAGCTTCTGCCTGGCTCTGCCACTCACCAGCCTTTAACCACAGGGCAGATCAGAGATCGGGGCCTACTTGATTATCAAAAAAGAGGGGAGGATAACCGTACTTCATTCAATGGTTAATATCTCAAAAGCACCAAGCGAGTGTCCAACACAGAGGAAGCACTCAAAGGAACTCACACTGATGGGCCTCTCTCTCCCCTCCCTCTTCTGCCTCACTTGGTAACTCCATAGAAAATAATTCTACAACTAGACCTAGAGGATATTATTCCCTGACTTTGGGAATTTTCTATGTTGAATACTGTTCACTCATCCACCTGAAATGTCTCAGACCTGTCTTGCTCCAGACTGCTATTGTGAGGGCTTTTCTTCTTTTGGTTTTTTCGAGCCTTTGCTCTCTCCATTGGGCAAGAGAGTAGAACATATTGTAACCAGACCTCATCTCGGCCCCTTCATGTTATTTCAGAGTGGTATTGCCAGGTCATTTGTCACTTAGATGAAGGAACAGACCTAGTGCAATGAACATTTCTTTCTCAAAACAGTGTTATGAAACCAGCTACTGATGATCCTATCTTTCTCTTTTCCTCATTCTACAACCGAACATGAGATACATTTTACCAACTTATAAATGTACCTCTATCCTCCTAGAAATCTACATGTCTTTTATTAAGCCATTGAGTGTGATGTAAAGATACTATGTTTGGGGCACACAGCTTTTTCAGACCGGCAAGTTATTTTCATCAATTCGATTCACTACGAGGAAGTAAAACACTTTACTCGTCAATAGGATTCAACCTATGAAAGTAAAACCATTTCCCATACTGTCAATTGAAGGAAGAGATGAAAACTCTATACTTAACTGCCAAAGGTTAATGAAGCTACTTGCCTGCTTTACCCACTAATTCAAAGTCTTTCTCATTTCTTCAGCTATCCAACTATTCTGAAAGAAGAACTTTGAAGATGCCAACTCACTAGTTGATGAAATCCACTGCCTGAGTTTTCAACTGATCTGCGCTGTGGAGGTCAGCCAGGATGAGAATTTCTGCAGCATTCTCCACGGACAGGTTACTGCAGAGGGCATCCTCACACATGACCTTTAAACGCTCCAGGGCATACTGTAAAACACAAGCACTGCTGTCGTCAGAGCAGCAATAGCTCTGGGCTGACCACTACTGAAGATGTTTTTTTTTTAGCCATACCATCATATTAACTAGATGCTTGAGCAGAACTGCACAGACCATGAAAAGCTACTACTGCAATGATAAATCATAACCGTATTCTGAAGGTTAGATGTTTAAGCTTGAAATGTAAACAGCTAAAATAACTTGGAAAGCTGCCGTTAGAGTTCTAAAATCTACCTATTAGAGAAACGGCAACTACAGGGTAGACCTGCATTCTGAAGTTTACTCTCCTCCTGACTGTGATGAAAGTCTTTCTTAAACCTTCACCACTTAGGATTATGGTGAGGCGTTAGTCTGCTTCAAGTCAACAGAGACATTTCTGCAGTCCCCTTATTTACAGCCAGAAGAGGGCGAAGCACAATCCTTTCTACTTAAGCACTGTCACTAGCCCAGCAGGATATCCCAGCTGGCCCATCAGGCTGTGAAAAGGAGCCCAGTGGTGACTTTTACCGGCATCTCTGCCACTAGTTGTTCCTGAATGACGGTCAACTAAAGGCCTCCTTTTAAATAGAAAAGGATAAACAGAGTCTTCTTTTATTGGGGTTGAGGTTAAGCTTCTCAGGGTAAAAGGACAAAGTGCAGAGACCCTAAATCCAGTTTCAGTTTAAAAACTCCTATTTTCTAAGTAAAAGGCATAAATGTTTTTGAAATGGAAAGCCTAGGTTAATGTTGGGCATGCACATCTGATCTACTTGATTGGTTCTGATACAACTCTACTACTTGTTCTCTAATATGAGATTATAAACTTACTAGGAACTTCAGGGATAGGAAAGGGAAAGGAAATACAAGGAGGCACAAAATAAAATGTCATTAATCAGTTCATAGGAAAACAGTTTGCTCTGAAGCTATGTACAATCTCCTTACAGGCCCCAGCTTGAAGGGCCCAGAACTCAATGACACAATGCCCCTTCAGGGTGAATCATGGCAATCAAACCAGGACAATTTCATTGTTATAAATTCTGGGTGAGGAGCATATCTGCTGGCACTGTGATCCCCTGCAGCAAAAGAGAGGTTTTATTGGTTTTCGTGCAGCTTTAATTTTTTACATTGAGGACCTGTAAAACAGTTTCCATGGAAAACAGGAATGACATTAGATAAGCAAGAAATGAAGTTGCTGTTTTTGTTTTAAAAGGCTGGAGAAAAAAGGTTTAGTAAATGTTCAGTCCTTATACAGTGCTGCCCAGACGTTTCCTCTTATCCTTTCTCAATACATTCTTTTAAAAGGACTTTTACTGTGAATAGCTCTGATCCCTACTGCATAATTAGACAAAAGTAGCCATTCTTGTCCCTTGGGGACAAAGTTTTTTCCTTAATTATGCTTCTGAAAAACCTGCCTAATGGCAGTACTTACCCAAGAGATGGAAATTGTGTCTCCAAGGCCTGGCCGATGTGTTTTGTTTTGTTTTTGGTCTAATTACACATGTCCCCAGGAGACTGGAAAAGCTCAGAAGAAGCTGTTTCAGCCTCTTGGGTAAATTCTAGATGTTTAGATCATTCCATGAAAGATTTCTTATTCTGTTTTCCTAAAACTCACAAGGAGGTGTAAAGGTAAAAATGTTTTCAAACAGGCTTGGAGCAAAAACTGTCTAGTGGGAAAATCTGAATGGAATTTGAAAATGCACCCTTCAATTACTTCTCATTCATAAATTTAAAGCAGTGCTGTAATTCAACAGCTTTATCTTTTAAAGCCACAAGTTAACACATTGTGCTGAAATGCTATCCTTGAAATGGCAGTTCAGGCTGATCACCACGCCCTGTGTACTTACAGCAGGTTATCAATAGGTTCTCTGGCTAAGGAGCAAAAATGAAAACTCAGGGACACAGCAGAAGTTTAATCTTGGCTCTGTGGATATACAACTCTGAGCCTTAGTATTTCTGTCTAAAAAGTGGGTCTTGCAATACTTATCCTTATGGAATCTAGAAGATCAGAGGATAAACACCTGATGTGTATAAGCACAAGTGACCACTTCATTAAAAATCAGAACAAAGATCAGGCAGAATCATATTAACTTTATAAAAGGCAGTTACTGGGTTGTGTCTTCTACTTTCCCAGAGCTTGCAGTGAATATTTTCTTACTGTCTCCATTAAAAGCAAGTTTTCCCTGGTCAGAATTGACGTAGACTGAAAGGGTATGGAATCTTCACACTGCTTAATTGTACTCATAAAGTCTTGAAAGGTGACAAGGAGGATATGGTTAATATTCCAATCTTCTTCATTGGGGACACTGATTGCATTTACTTGCCCCATCTTCTATATACACTCCAAAAAGCCGATCAATAAAAAGCTCCACTATAAACACAGGCACTTTTCTCTGTCCTCAGGCACAAAAGGACATAGGAGACTACCCCATAAGGAAATCCTGGAAGGCTGTTGTGTCCTTAGACCAGAGCCCACTTTTCCCTCCAATGGGTATTGCAGCATCATGGCAGGAAGAGGGGTGCTCTCAGCAGAGAACCCTCTTTCTCAGAGAGTCTACTGCTGGCAGGGTCTGTGCCCTTTTCCCACCCTCATGCCAACTGCACTTGCCCCCCAGCACAGGAAAAGCTCCACGGGGTAAATACCAATTCTTTTGCCCTTCCCCACAGGTCATGTTTCCACAGACTGCAGGGCCTAGAACGGCAGAACACTGATCTCTCACTCTGCTGTACCTACACAATGAAAGTCAGTTTCCCAACGTGTGTTTTGGGGACCACTAATCTTGCAGGTGATCCTTGAGAAACAGGATTTCAGGGTTAAAACTAAATTGGAGAAATGCTGTCTATCATAATTCCTGTTAGAAAATTCACAGTACACATTAACTTGTTACAGGTGCTGAGAAATCCTGCAGTAAAATAGCAACTATTTGACTTGGTTAAACTCAGTATTTTTAACCATTTTATATAGGTAGGTCCCATATAAGACCAACCTAATATCTGTTGATATTTCACCTTATTTTGGAATTACAGGCTGGATGTACCATGCACCCCGCACCACTGTGCCCAGCCTGTTTTTTCTTGTTTCTTTTTTTTCTTTTTTTGGAGACAGAGTCTTGTTCTGTTGCCCAGGCTGAAGAGCAGTGGCACAATCTCAGCTCACTGCAACCTCTGCCACCGGAGTTCAAGCTATTCTCTTGCCTCAGCCTCCCGAGTAGCTGGGACTACAAGCACACGCCATCGCACCTGGCTAATTTTGTATTTTTAAGAAGAGATGGGGTTGTGCCATGTTGCCCAGGCTGGTCTCGAACTCCTGAGTTTAGGTAATCCGCCTGCCTCGGCCTCCCAAACTGGTGGGATTACAGCCGTGAGCCACTGCACCCGGCCCCTTCTTTTTTCTCAAATATTTTTGATCCACACGGATACAAAGGGCTGTTTTACTGATAAAGTTTAAATATGTTAATAAACTCAAAACCATTTTATAAATTATAAAGCACAATCCAAATATATTATTTTAATCCTTACTATCACTGTGGTTAAATTTGAGATGGAGAAAAGAGGAGAGGTAAATGTCAAACTTACCCATCTTTCCCATAGTTAGGTGACCATATAGTTTACTATACAAAGCAGGACACTTTTGAGAATAAAAAGTGTGCTATTAATAACTGTGTTGGAGTAATATGTGTAAACCAGGACTGTCCTGGCCAAACCAGGATATATGCTCATTTTACCTACAATGCAACATAGAAGCCCATTCATGAAACTCAAGAAGTCACAATAACTCCTAGTCCTGATTATTTTTCTATTCTTATCTTACCTTGTCAGCAGCTGCCAGCAAATCATCAGCCATTTTGTCAAGGTTTGGAGCCTTCCCCGTGTAAATGAAGCACATCATTTCCTTAAAAACTTCAGGCTCCACATCATTGATTTCAACCCGATTCTATGCCAGGAAAACTGAAAATGAGAAACATTCCAACAGAACAAAATCCCTAAACTAAACTATTTTCATGATTTTAAGCTCTGGTGAGAACCTTGTATCATTTAAAACCTAACATTAATGGGAAATTTCTTTGTCCGGCTTGATTATAATAGCCTTTTCTTCCACTGCACATTCCATCTCTGTCTTCTCAAACACGACAGCCAAACAACTCTAAGTTTTTCACCTTTTCCACAATTTTCTGAGTGAAAGCATATGTCTAAATACCCTCACCCAAAACCGTGGATGACCAGCCTCGCTGAGTAAGTCAATCTGCTTTAGCTATAATACTGCTAGACCCCCTCTCTCTGCTCTCAGAAGGAGTCTGTTTAGGGACTCGTATTCCATTTTAGTAACACAGTAAGAAAAAAATAATTAGGAAAATAAATCTGCAGTTAAAGTGGGAAATCATCTGATTCTAGATACCCGGCTAAACAGATGTGTCATCAGACATGTCTTCATCCTGTTACATACCTTTTTGCTCTCTTCCATTTCATGTTCAAACATGGCACTAAAAACCGGAGAACGAGCTACAAAGTGAAAGAGAAACAAACAGATAAGGCTATCACAGTGAAATCTCCTGGTTTTTGTCAGTCATGAGGAAGAGATCATTTTCTTTCCTATCCTACTGCTATATAGAAAAGGTCTCAACCTCAACTTATATCAGAATTATAAAATTCCTTTCCTTATATATTACAACAATAAGTAACTAATTATAATACGTAAAGGAACATCAGAAACCACTACTTCCAAAGTAATTTCTTACCAGTTCTACTCCAACCATTCATATTTCAAGGAAATTACTTAAGTTATCTATGTTGGATGACAATGCTATGTTCTCTGTATAGACTGGGGTTCAAATGCAAGGTCCCTTATGATCAAGCAGGGTGTATTAATACCTGTGTTTTTGTTGGAACTGACACCACACTTTCTGCACCTCTAGGGACCGCACAGGAAGAAGGTCAAGAACTGGGCTCAATGGCATCCACTAACCAGATGAAGCGCATGCTCACCTATGACAAGCTGTCTGTTTTTCTAAGTTATGCATTCCTAACACAGAAGATACTGTCCCAAAGAGGTGGCGGGGGGGAGGGGGAACCTTAGATATTATAACGATTTGTGTCCCTTTAAAGCACAACCCTACCTCATAGAATCTTCTTAGTATTTTATTTCTCTCATCAGGGAGAATTTAAATTTAGTTTTTCTCCTTAGAAGTGGGGATAATGAAGCTGAAAAACAGTGCTCCAATTCATCCTTATTCTAGTCCAATGAACATGAAAAATAAGTAAATGATCTCAATCACCAAAAGTAATAAAATGGCTAAGAACTCAAATTTTTTCATGTTGTCAATAAATCAGGGGTTTTGGTCAAAGCTGTGATCCAACCATTACCTAAGAGTGAAGGAATGGACAGAATACATAGTAGAAGGGCTTTGAGCTACCAGGGAACTGGAACTTTTGGCCTATAGTTTATGTTAGAAAGGACTAATTTTAGCTCTGCCATTTCTCTTTTTTTTTTTTTAATTTTTTTGAGACTAAGTTGCCCAGGCTGGAGTCGAGTACAGTGGCACAATCTTGGCTCACTGCAACCTCTACCTCCTGGGTTCAAGTGATTCTCCTGCCTCAGCCCCCCAAGTAGTTGGGTTTACAGGTGTCCACCACTAGGCCCAGCTAATTTTTGTATTTTTGGTAGAGACGGGGTTTTACCATGTTGGCCAGGCTGGTCTCAAACTTCTGACCTCAGATGATCCACCCATCTTGGCCTCCCAAAGGTGCTGGGATTACAGGCATGAGCCACCGCACCTGGTCTCTTTTTTTTGACAGAGTTTCAATCTTGTTGCTTAGGCTGGAGTGCAAAGGTGTGATCTCAACTCACTGCAACCTCCACTTCCTGGGTTCAAGCAATTTTCCTGCCTCAGACTCTGGAGGAGCTGGGATTACAGGCATGTGCCACCATGCCTGAGTAATTTTTGTATTTTTAGACAGGGTTTCACCATGTTGGCCAAGCTGGTCTCGAACTCCTGACCTCAAGTGATGGGCCCACCTTGGCCTCCCAAAGTGCTGGGATTATAGGTGTGAGCCACTGCACCTGGCCTAGCTCTACCATTTCCTAACCACATATTCTTGTGCAAATCATTTAATCCTCTTAACCTTAGTATTTTAATTTATGCCAAAATGATATTAATCCTCATTGCTCTTATCAGAAGGGTTATAGACTATAGACTACAGAGTACTACATAAATATATTTCAGAAATTTAAGACTAAAGGCCTGGTGCTTTCCATAAAGAAGCAAGGGTCCAAAGCAGCCAGGTCTTGAGGGTCCTCAGTACACAGGCAGCAGCTGATGCAATGGGAATGAAACCACTCAGAGAGAAGAAGTGGAATCAAAACAGAACTGAAGCAGATCCTTAACGCTCACCAATGTATAAAGGGATGGACAAAGCAGAAATAAGGAGACCACACGTTAGAAGCAACCAGAGAACCAGGAGAGAGGCGTCCTAGTATATGAAGTAAAGTCCTTCAAATTTAGGAACTAGTAGATCTCATAATTTGGAAAAACTGCTTTCATAGCCCACTGAGGACAAGTGAGAGTAAAGAAGTAGAAAGTGAAAATGCTAACTCAAGAAACTCAGCTCTGGGGAAAAGAGAGAGAATAACTAGAGGGAGAAGCTTGGAGCCTGTTTACAGGCTGAAGGTGAAGAGGCAATAACAGAAAGAGAGCTAGTGAAGAGACCAGATAGCAAGGGTATAACCAGTAGAGTAAGGTTTCTACAGAGGCAAGATGGGATAGAAAACAGAGCAGAAGTAGAAATAGTCTGTTTTTCCACAAGGAAGAACACCTACACTGAGAATGCAGTGAGGTGAGAGGCAGGAGTTGAGGGAGTTCATACAAAAGGGCCTCCTTTTCTCTTGGAGGAAGTAGGCAAGGTCATCTTTGGAAGGAGTTAAAAGAGTGGTTAAGGTTTGAGACAGCTATTGTTAAGAAAGGGACTTGCCTGTGTACCTGCAGAAAAACTACTGGTGGTGTTGAGGGCCTAGCTAAGTGTGGAGATACTAACCAAAGAGTTACAGACTTCCTTGGGTTTTTTTTTTTCACCAAGATGGAGTCTTGCTCTGTCCCCCAGGCAGCAGTGCAGTGGTGCAATCTCACCTCACTGCAACCTCTGCCTCCCAGGTTCCAGTGATTCTCCTGTCTCAGTCTCTGGAGTAGCTGGGATTACAGGCACATGCCACCACACTCAGCTAATTTTTTTAATTTTAAGTAGAGATGAGGTTTCGCCACGTTGGCCAGGCTGGTCTCGAACTCCTGACCTGAGGTGCTCCATCCACCTTGGCCTCCTAATGTGCCGGGATTACATGTGCGAGCTACTGCACCTGGTGAATTCCTTGAGTATTACACAGTAACAGTTGTGAGAGGGAACAGGAAAATGTTTAGACTGAGGCAGATTGAGGTTTTACCAGGTGTGCACTTTAGAATGACAGAGCTGAGGGTCTTGGTAAGAAGTGTGTTACTTGAAGGTTCATGAAATCTCCTGTTAGGTCTTAAGAGAAGTCTTAAGAAGGTGACTGTTACCCTTCCCTGGGCAGTGAAGTCAGTCCTTCCTCATCAGTTCCTCCTTGGTGTCAGTCTCCCTCGTCTTGAAAACCACGGGCCTATTGGAGCAAGACCTGATCCTCCATGTCAAACAGTTTCATTCTTTGAGTATGTTTAAATTGAAGGGAGGGCTAAGGCCTCCAGGGCTGAGGACTAGCTAGATGGTATTTAGTCCTGAGTATAGAATCCTCTCCATTACATCCTAAGCCCCTATCTAGGGGATGACTCCTACTCTCTAGGGGCAAAGGCATTTAATACCTTTGTACGTCATCATCCATTCCTTGAAAATGATGGCCTAGGTCCACTACAGAGAGGAAATACAGAAATGTCATTTTATAGAGAGCAGCTTTTTTTCGATTGAGCATTAATATTATCAGAATACAAAGATATATTTAGCTGCAGTTTGTTTTGTAATCAAGTTCAAAAAGTTGAAGTTGTTCAAAAGGTGATTATGCAATCACTTGTTTTTCCTCATTTCACCAAAACTATAAAATTCCTCGTGAATAAATACCAACCTGCTAAGATAGCTTTGTGAGCCTGGAATTCCTGGCCAGCAACACACAAGCAGCAGTCTGTGAACCGGGAATTCTCCCACAGTCCTCCTAACTCGTCTGCCAAGCGGCACTCGGGAACCTTTACCATATTCATGGTGTTCTGGCCTGAAATGTTGACAGAATCTTGCACAACACTCACCTGTGAAAGACAAGGAAACACAAGCCAAGGTTTTGTTACCCAGAATATTTTTGCCAGCAGATATAGAGAAAACTTTTACCTCATTGCTGTAGTACATTCAGATATTAATATTAATCATATCATCTTGAAACCACCCCCACAAATCAAGACTTTATCCCTGGATCAAGTAAGTCCTTATCTGTCACGATCAGATTTATTCTATACCATCTCAGGACAATGGGGAAAGAGCCCCACAAATCTCCTTTTCCTCCAGTTTCTAATAAGCTTCACCTCTCTTGGACTACAAACCTGGGCAAAGGTGCCAGAGAGACAAAACAGAAACAAATGTTAAACCTCAAGTATTTACCTTATTCTGCCTTAAGTTAAATAAAAAGAACTCCTAAAAATATTACCATTTAAATTAAACTCTAGCGACAAGAATCTAATAACTTTTTTTTTGAGACAGAGTCTCACTCTGGCGCCCCAGATGGAGTGCCGTAGCATGATCATAGCTCACTGCAGTGTTGACCTCCCGTGTTCAAGTGATCCTTCCACTCCAGCCTCTGGAGTAGTTGGGACAACAGGCGCATACCACTACGTCTGACTGATTTTTTATCTGTTTACAGAGACAAGGTCTCACTATGTTCCCCAGGGTTATCTTGAACTTCTGGGCTCAAAGTGATCCTCCATCCTTGGCCTTCCAAAGTGCTGAGATTATAGGTGCAAGCCACGGCACCTCACCAAATCTAATAACTGAAGCCTAAAAGCACTTATTTTAGTTAGGTCGAGAACATGCACATAAAATGCACCCTTAACAGGGCCTGGTAAATAACTGGCACTTCTTCAAAAATATTAGTTTAATGAACAGGACATTATTGACCCACTATCAGGAAGGGTTAGACCTGGAAGCTCTTCCTAGTAGTGATAACTGGGTGAGTATCCCACAACTTCTATACCTTTAGTCAGTTGTGATAATGACATCCAAGATGCCTGGCTGTAGCTACACAGGCACTTATAGCTTTGGAAGAGAATGATGATGATAGGTTTATAAAGGAATCCCAACTTCCCACTATAAATTCAGCAGAAGCATGTTTTAACCAGTACAGCCTAGATAAAAAAAATCAAGTTAACTTCTAGGTGGGTCAGTGAAACTGAGATAAATTGGTTATGGTACCAAATTCAAGGATTTATAAATCATACATCATAAAATAAATGTCAGCTGCCAAACTGTAGATAGGACCCTGCAGATCAGTCATCTGCCTCACAATCATTGTTATGCTTCATCTCCATCTCCTACATCACATTCTGTTAGAAAAGTTAAATTCAAAACAGAACTCAAAAACTTTGAGAATTAGCTCCTTACTCTTTCCCATCCTAAAGGTAAGATGAGAAAGACAGCTTAGGAACATCCTTAATGACCCAGATTTCTTTAACCTTCAAGATGCAAGTCATCCCTTAAATGCAGTCATAAACCCAGAGGCAAAGTTAATGACCTGTAGTTCCTTCTGTGCAGGAGTGAGATATTTACTATCAGGTCAAGAAATTTATTCATTTGTTTAAAACTAGCTGTTATGGTCTTGGGCAATGAAGCAGCCAAGTTAATCAATTATGAATGTACTTGGCATTAGTATCACATTTATCAGAGCCAGATTATAACATTATTTTAATAGCCTAGGACCCAATACAAACCATCCCACAGAGATTCTCTCTTGTCCTCTGTAAGATCTCTAATTTGTTTCTGCCACTTTCTCATATTAATGCCCTCACTTCTTTGATATAACATTAACACCAAAAGTAGAAGTTGCCTGTTCTTAGTTATAGCTCCAAAATACTAATTAAAAAAAGGAAAAGACCAATTAAATCCAACTTTCTCATAGGGAAAGGCAGGAATCTCCTGGGAAGACCAATGAAGGCAATGGAGAATGCTTTTGGCACTGGGTTCCTAGCTTGAATTAAACCAGGTTGACAGGAGCCCAAAATCATTAACACTTGATGGCAATTTAGTAGACTGGGTGAAATGAATTGGCAAGAAGAGCTAAACTGAATTTCACATAATCAAACCATGGTTACCAATGGGCCTTCTGCTGGTTAGATGCACACGTGGTAATGAGTGGGGCCCAAAGACTGTGACATTTCTCACTGGGGCAATTCCTCTCTCTGGACACAGACAGGAACATGGCAGGAAAGAGAATGTACCTTTATTGTCTGAGCTAGGCTTGTTCTGTAGATATATAGATGCCTGGAGTCTCCAGAGCTCTGAATGTCTGGCACCTCTCACCAACATTAAATACGCTTAATTAAAAATAAATTCTAAATGGCATTCACAAATGAGTCTTCAGAGCCCAAACTTTTAACTTAGAAAGGGATTGTTTTCCTCTGCAAATGATGATGCTAAAATGAGATCATTTTGAGAAAAACTAAAGATTTTTTTTAATGCCTATAAAGTTGACTGTAGAGACTCATTCAGAACTGCAGCTGTGAAGATGACGTGACTGTGACATTTATGTCATCTTATAAATGACTGCATGAAAATGTCTCAGGAAGGCTGTATAATCCCCTTAACTTCAAGTTGTAAAAGGGTCTCACTTTTAAAGTCAATTCTTTTCTTAAAAAAGAAAATTTCATAAAAAACTAAAGATTGTGCCAATTCTTGTACATTTAATCTATACATAAAGTAAAACCCAGGGAAATACATTTTTTAACTTCTATGTAATTAAAACAATCTAAGTAAAATAGATACTGCCAACAAATTATTTACAGCAGGGGCACTATTTCTACTAGAAAAGATCAGCAACAACCTAAATGTCCATCGGCAAAAGAATGAATAAATTATACATTCATACAGACTATTATATACAGCGATAAATATGGATGAAGTATAGTTATATAAATCTTAGAAACATAATATGAAAAAAGCAAGTCTTAGATGACTACATACAGTCTGACATCATTTTTATAAAGCTCCAAAACAAGGAACCTAAACAATATATTACTCAGACATACAAATAATAAACAAGGGCACAATAACATCAAATTCAAAATAGCTATTTATCATCCTCTGAGTAGGGAAATAAATCTTAGGGATTGGCGAGAAGCATATACAGGTTAGTTCCAAGTTACTGGTCACATTTTTAGGTTGGGTGGTAGGTATATTCTCATGCTTTATAACCTACAATAATGTTACCTATTAAGTCACCATTTGGGTAGGTCAAGAACAATCAAATATTGGTATTTTTATTCAGTACAAATAATGTATTCAAATAATCCAATAATTAAAGGATAAAAAGGTAAAAATGAATAGATCCACTTATTTAAAATTTGGCAAAAATACCTATTTCTAGGCTATTAAAAGTGTAAGAGTGTGTGTGTGTGTGTGTGTGCACGCGCGTGTGTGCGCGCTCGCACACATGCATGTATAAAACCATTATTTTTAAAATTTAGAGACAGGGTCTGCCTCCGTTGCCCAGGCTGGAGTGCATTGGTGATGGTGTGATCACAGCTTACTATAGCCGCCAACTCCTGGGCTTAAGCAATTCTCCTGCCTCACCCTCCCAAGTAGGTAGGACTACAGGCATGTACCATAATACCTGGCTAATTTTAAAATTTTTTGTAGAGAGAGGGTCTCACTGTGTTACCCAGACTGGTCTCAAACTTCTGGGCTTGAATGATCCTCCTACCTTAGCCTCCCAAACTGCTAGAATTACAGGTTATAGTGAGCTATGATTAACCAACTGCACTCCAGCCTGGGCAAGATCAAGATCAAGATCCCATCTCTTAAAAAAATAAAATAAAGATGATTAGTGTCTGGATATTTAACATTTGTATGTTATTTCATATTTCATCTTTAATTGCAGTATCACAGAGAGGCACTGGGATTATCTACCTGTCAAAGGCATATATGGTAAAGTTGGAATACAATGCATCTTTATTGCTAATGGCTATTTGTTTTCAATGTAAATAACTGGAAAGAAGGGTCAATAGAAGCTGATACATTTCATGAAGATTTTCTGTGGACCAAATTATTAAAGAGAAAATTTTAAATGGAATTTAAACATGCTTTCATGTCTGTTTATTTTTTAACAGACAGGCAGACAGGGACTAATTATGTTGCCCAGGTAGGAGTGCAATGGCTGCTCACAAGCACAATCACAGCACATCACAACTTCGAACTCCTGGGCTCAAGTGATCCTCTTGCATCAGCCTCAGGAGTACTGGGAGCCACAGGTGTGTGTGTACCACCTTGCCTGGCTCTCATGTCTCTCTCTTTTATTACCAAAGTAAATGCTCCATCAAGAAAACTTGGGAGAGTCTGTGCTTCCTGGGTGAATGACATTCAGCTCCAGTTAGTGTAGTGCAGTGGACTAGAGGTAAATAATAGGGAGCTGACATGACCCTCACACTAGTTTGCTGCACAATGTTAGGAAAAATTACCTGACTCCCTACACACTGCTTCTTTCCCTTGTAACATGAAATGAAGAAAACAGCACTAAACCTGGCTCAAAGAGTTGTAATAAGGAACAATTCAGGCAATGGTTAGGAAATGCTTCCAAATAAGTTAACTAAGCAATATCAATTTGGGAGAAATGCCACATTTCCTAATAGGTAAAACATCACTGAGAATTGAAAGTGATCTCAGTGTCTACGGTCATATCACCCTGAACACGCCTGATCTTGTCTGAAAGTGAACTCGATGTAGGGCACATTATAAACAAGACCACCCATTCATCACTCTCAGATTCCACAATCATTTAAACATTTAACAACAGTAATACCACTGAAATAAAGACCACACATAAATAAGCGCTTCTGTCTTTCACCGTAGAAGTCCCTCTTGTGGCCTCTGGGAGCACCAAAACCCTTATGAAACAACCATATTTATTATATCAAGATGAGAATGAGAAGTGCCTGAGCCAAAGGCTGAGTGAGGCATGGGGCAGTGGGGTATTCAGAACCTAGATTTCTATATGGATATCAACTTCAAAAAAGCCTCTAAACAATCAGAAAGTACTAATTAAACCAATAACAAATAAAATGTAAATATGAATTAAAACAAATACGTTTATAAATATTCCACTGATAGAAGGCCAACAACAGGTCAAAGGGATAAAATGTGCACCAAAAATGATCTAGCTATGAAAAGTGCTAAGAACTGAGATGACGAGATGAGCTGCAGACATCTTTAAAACCCACACATCCAATACACACCCCCACGCAACCGTCTTGCAACGCTGAATGCTACTAAGTCCACAGAGAGCCTTGGAACAGAAACAAGTCTCACTAGGCATAAGCCCAAGTATAAGAAGCAACACTCAGCACCTGTGGCCAACAGAGAAGTGTGAGAGGAACAGATGGCACACCTGGTTCGATGGTAAGAAACCGATGGCATCAGCAGAACCCAGCAGACGTTTCTCTGTTCAACATCTCCTCATTTCCAAAGTGTCATCTCACTTCCCATCTAAGTCAAGGCACATCTAAACTTAACCACAGGATTTCTCCTAAGAGAATTTCATATGGGGAAGTGAAGGGAGAGAGACACCGAGCTGGAACTTGGCCTCAGATTTAACCACAGGATAAGAGACTGCCAAGTGAGGGCAGGCCAACTGGTTTCCAAATCAAGACTGTGAAGACAGGGGTTGGAGCAGCTGGAATGGATAGGGGAGAGAGGGGGAAGGAAGCATCTGAGAAAAGGCTGGACCCACTGTGGACTCAAAAAAGCTGCAGTAAAGGTTACTGCGTTGCCTAATATTGCCAGATGTGGCATTTAGGGAAGATTTTCTTCAGAGAGCAGTTTCAAGACTGGCTTTCATTTCTAACAAAAACTAGCATCTTCTACTATTTTTAAGATTTTCTGAAATGTAAGTCTCTAGGTGAAGACTCAAACTGTGGTCTGATTATATAACATCTAACCTCATGTAAAACCAACTAATTGTTCTCATTTCTTTATTCAGGCAACTGAGTATAATCTGTGACCAGTTAGATTTACACAGAATGCACACTTCAAGTTTATCAGACATAAAAGAACTGCCACATTTTATGTATTTATTATAGATGCTATCACTCTAGTATTTCCTTAGTAATTAAAAAAGGAGAGGAGACAGCAATTTATGCAAACCATATTTTACATACTTAGTGTGGTATTGTAAGAAACTGCCTCCAAAGTTTTCTAAACATTTGCAACCACTCTGTTGCAATACAGAAGGTTGGCTGGGTGCAGTGGCTCATGCCTGTAATCCCAGCACTTTGGGAGGCTGAGGCAGGCGGATCACTTGGGGTCAGGAATTCGAGAAACCAGCCTGGCCAACTTGGTAAAACCCCATCTTTACTAAAAATACAAGAATTAGCCAGGCCTGGTGGCACAAGCCTGTAATCCCAGCTACTTGGAAGGCTGAGGCAGGAGAATCACTTGAATCTGGGAGGCAGAGGTTGCAGTGAGCCCAGATCGCACCACTACACTCTAGCCTGGGTGGCAGAGCAAGACTCCATCTCAAAAAAAAAAAAACAAAAAACAAAAAACAGAAAGAAAGAAATACAGAAGCCTGCTACTAACAGCCAGGCCTTTTCTGCAAAAGGGCAAGATTCCTAAAGGACTCCCTTCCCTGCTCTCAGGTGGTGACATGCCTTTGAAACGGTCATTAACTCAGAGTGAGCCTACTCTTTGACAGAGTGAGTTGGCAACTGGGAAACAACTATACCATCCCCCATGATGATACACTGTTTATTATTACCAAGCGGTGCTGCTCAGGAAGTGGTTCCTCGACCACACTATGTGCAGGGAACACTAATGCCCCAGTTGACTGGAGATTTTATTCACTTATTATACTGTGAGCTTGTATTTCTAAATGTATTCATAACAGCATGAAATGACTAATCAGTACATACTCATTAAAGAAACCACTTTCCAGCTCATTCTTGGTTTGGGAATTTTACTTCAAGGCTTCTCCTGTAAACCTGGGAAAGGCTCTTAGGTCACTGGTGAGAGGACTTTCCTAACTGACTACAGCTAACTCTCTGAGCTAATTGTGAGTTAGACAGCTTTAAATAGCCTTCACCCTAGAAAAAAAAATGGTTCTCAACTTCCTATTTCACAATTACTCCAGCAAGACAAACCAGAGGCACTCAACTCTTGATAAGAATCTAGTTCAAAGAGCAGGAAAGGAAAGTAATTGCAAACACACGTGGCCCTCACACTTAAGGAGGAGCCAGAAAGTATAAGGAACAGATACACAAATTTAGCTTGAAGTGACAGTACTTTCAAATGCTGTCTGAAAAAAACCCACAGTGAAAACTCCTGACCAAAGCAACTTAAAACTGACACATACCAGGAAAGCACACAATCTTTGCTTTTAAGAACAGTAACAAGCAGAAAGCTGACATGCCCAACAACCTTGAAATCATCAGGTAGCTCAGTCAGTCACATAAATAACGTTTGTGCAGCACTACTCCACTTGGGGATTTTTTTTACTCTATATCCCTGATACAATATAATTAAGTCTAGCAATACTCATCAGGTCTGGGATCTGCTAGACTCAGCAGAATACAAGGACTCACCTCACAGAAGAGGGTAAGCTTGTCATCAGGGAGAAGCCCGTTGGCCTCATCCAAAAGAAAATCTCTACGGATGAATTTCTTGAATCCCCAGTCTTTGCCTTGCACAAACCTATATGCCCGTTGACTCTCTGGGGTGAAAAAAAAAAGTCACATTTAAGGTTACGCAAAAAGCAGATCAAATCCACAACTTGTCAGTGTATGAAACTGCTGGATATGAAAGTTATCTGCTAAACAAAGAGGACATTTACCCATAGCTTTGGTTTCTTCTCCCTTGGCATTCAGGATGGAGAATTTAAATTTTGCCCGAACTTCACTCTTTGGACAGCTGACCAGTAACAGGTAAAGTGACAGGTAATCTTTGCTTTCTTCGTCTAGCCCTTTGGGGTTTACTCGCAAACACCTGTCCAAAACAGGTAGAAAAAGGAAATGTCAAAAGCATCCATGTTGATAGAAATGGAACATCAGACTCAAGAGGGAGATACTTAAAAGAACAAATCCAGGCCCCATAGAAGAATATAATCCAGTAGAATGATACTTGGGAACAACCTTTCTCTTCTTTTTTAATTTTTTTTGACAGGGTCATACTCTGCCATCCAGGCTGGAGTGCAGTGGTGTCATCATGGCTTACTGCAACCTCAATCTCCCTGGGCTCAGGTGATCCTCCCACCTCAGCCTCCTGAGTAGCTGGGACTACAGGTGTGCACCACCATGCCCAGATAATTTTTGTAAAGACGGGGTTTCACCATATTGCCCAGGCTGGTCTCGAATGCCTCAAGAGATCCACCTGCCTTAGCCTCCCAGAGTGCTGGGATTACAGGAATAAGCAACCACACCTGGATGTGAACCACTTTTCTAAAGCAATCTGAGTCACCTTTTAAAGAGCAAACAACATGCCGAGGTACGGTGGCTCATGCCTGTAATCCCAGCACTTTGGGAGGCTGAGGCAGGCAGATCACTTGAAGTAAAGAATTCGAGAACAGCTGGCCTACATGGTGAAACCTTGTCTCTACTAAAAATATCAGGTGTGGTGGTGGGCGCCTGTAATCCCTGCTTCTCTAGAGGCTGAGGCAGGAGAATCACTTTAACCCAGGAGGCAGAGGTTGCAGTGAGCCGAGAGTACACCACTGCCCTCCAGCCCGGGGGATAGAGTGAGATTCTGTCTCAAAAAAAAAAAGGGCTGAGCACAGTGGCTGACCTCAGGTGACTGAACTCCTGACCTGACCAGACTGATATTGAACTCCTGACCTCAGGTGATCCATCGGCCTCGGACTCCCAGCACTTTGGGAAGCCAAGGCGGGTGGATCACCTGAGGTCAGGAGTTCAATATCAGCCTGGCCAACATGGTGAAACCGTCTCTATTAAAAATACAAAAATTAGCCAGGTGTGGTGTAGTCCCAGCTACTCAGAAGGCTGAGGCAGGAGAATCGCTTACACCCAGGAGGCAGAGGCTGCAGTGAGCTGATATTGCGCCACTGCATTCCAGCCTGGGCAACAAGAACAAAGGTCTGTCTCAAAAAAAAAAGATAATGATAACATACATAATCTTTTATAGATATTTTACCAATCTGGCAATAATATTCTAAGACTAAAATAAAGGAGGTAATATGAAGGAAGCACAGAGACAGTAAATTCCCATTATACAACACAGAATGCCAGGCCAGACTTCTAATAGTTAGAGATGCCAATCTGTTACGAAGAGATCAAAACAAAATTCAGACAGAATAGGTTGAACTAAGTTGTGAATGTCATTAGTCAAATGCATGTGTTTCAGACACTGCTTCTACCACATGCAATACATAGGCCGTAAGTATCCTTAGGCCTTGTCAGTATTACTGCACCTCTCTCAAATAGGTGGCCCAATCCAGTGTCTCTCTAGGGACTGCATATGCCACATAAATTACTATACGCCTTGCTAATGATGAAGATTTAAATATAACATCTAAGAATAAACATCTCTCTCAACACTTAATAGTACAATGCACAATATATAGCCAACAAATACTAAATGAATGAAAGAACAACTTTTGGTGGGTTAACAGAGGTCAAAACTGGTGATTTGGGGACATGTGTTTTGGTCTTTGCAGTGGGTATATGGCTGTATCCTTAACTGCCTGCTCCTCGGGCAAGATGACGCATAGTTTGAATGAGGCTGATCCCCACTCCTGGATCATATTTCCCCTGCTCCAGGGATTAGTTCAGGGAATGCAGACATAAAACTATCAGTGCATGTATGACATATTCCTGGCCACACAGTTAGTTCAGAGAAAGCTCAAAGACTTTTGCTGGCATGTAGTGGATTACGTCCATTGCTACTGCCAGTCATCCTTCAAGCACAAGGGAAGCCAGACCTGAGATGTCCAAGAGCGTGGAGAGCAGGGCCAGGAGAGAGATGGGGTTCTTACTCTAACCACTGGCTTGCTGGATCAAGCTACCTTCAAACCTATCCTATACCCTGTTAATACAGTTACATAAGCAAATAAATCCCCTTTCTTATTTAAAAGCAGGCAATTTAAAAGTAAAGAGATTGTATGTTAAAATCTAGATTTCTTGCTTTTCTTGAAAAATTAGAAAACCTGGCAAGGGTCAGCCCTTACTCATACATAGCTATAGTTAGCTGGAGCTGAGTAGCCAGCACCTCTTTTAGAAGAACACTTACTAGTTTGCCAAGCAGTCACCAGTCATTCCATTTATGGATATAATTTATAACACTGGCCTTCTTTACTTGTTTGCATTACCCTATAGCTTGATTTTGCTGATCTCTCATATACTCATTCAATTAATTCAACAAATATTTAATAAGTACCTATTATGTGCCAGGCACTGTGCTAGGCACTGGGAAATACAGTAAGAACAAAACAAAGTCCCTGCCTTCATGGAACTTACATTCCCATCAGTGTCCCATAAAGCCAAACAAAACAGAGAGCTTTAGAAAAAATTTTACAGCTAGATGTATTCTTCCTCACCATTTCAGTTTATCATTAGCTCCTGATGAAAAGGTAGAACTTTTAATGACTTCACCCATTTCCTCACGGCAAAAACTAAAGTTATTGATGGTCCACATGTAGGAGAATTTCACTACCTTGATCTGTTGATAGAAAAACAGGAAGCAATTAAATAGGAAGTGGACAACCTGAAAAAGCAGGCTGAAGAGTAGATCATCATTTCCCCTCCCTCTCTCCCTCCCTCTGCATGATCCTGATGGAAAGAGAGCAGTTTTCAGCTTTTTCTCACCTTAGGTTTCCTCATCCACATTTTAAGAAATCTCACACTGACCAATAGTTTTTGTTACTTTTTTTCAGCTATTGAGAAACACTGGATGGAAAGTGAGAGAAATATGGACAGGAAAAAAAAGGCCACCACCACTACCACCATGAACAGAGCTGGGAAAGCATATGATAAAACTGTACTTAAAATGGGTCTCTGGAATTAAAATGCTGATGTCACTGCCTGGGGTTGCCCATCTCAAATTTATTTCCCCAGCAAAGGAAACTTAGAACACACTTTTATCAAGGGCAATGTAAGTGGATCTAGTTTCAAAGATTCCCCCTTTCAATCTCCACTGAAAAACACTAGCCTAGGGAATACAGATTCCATGTGGAAAACTAAGGAACCTAAGGTTAACAAATCCCTTATCTATCTGCTCTTTGGCAGTTGTATTCCAGAGAAAGCAGGAAGCCCAATGTGGAAAAGCAATCCTACTCCTTTTGTCCACCAAACCCTCCCCAAATGCAAGATTCACAGGGTGAAAACTTGAACTTACCTGTGTGTAGCACCAACTCTCAGCTACAGGGCCACTCGACATTTCTGCCGGAGGTGGAGGACTTGGGACCCTTGACATCGCCAGTTTGAAGGTTAAACAAGATTTCCAATGTCAGGGGACAAAGATTTCTGTTCTCTCTTCACCCTGGTCAGATCCAAGAAGCAAGAATTTTATTAGATTCTATCTAATAAAATTGAGATACTATCCCAACTATTGTTTGACCTGCTAGATACTGGACATTTTGTCTCCATATTGTTTGAGTGGCTCCTTACCATTGAAGTCCCAAATTTAAATGTTAACATCAGAGAAGACTACCTAATGTAAAGTAATCACCTAGTCACAATTATATCACACTATACTTCTGCACAATATTGCGAATAAATTTACTCAAAGGGTATTTAAAGTATATTTATGAAAAGGCTGCCTGAAGAGAAGATAGACTCGTTAACACCGAACTTGCCATGGGCTCCTTCCTCTGGGGTATAAATACTCTAGTAAAGCAAAATGACCTTGTTACCCTCTCTAAGTTTGCTTCATCTTCTCCTAAGCTTTACTGAAACTTAAGGAGTCTTCTATTCCTCAACCTTTGCTAGCTGCTCTCTTGAAAGGCAACATTTTTACACCTTTCTTAGATGTATTCCTTTCTCTGCAGCATTCGTGATCTCTCCCTGCTTACATTCCTGTCACCCCTCATGTTTCAGATTCTTCTCCTTACTCTGCTTTGTGATCATTCCTCAGCCTCTTTTACCAGATTCTCTTTGTCTACTGTTGCTCCCCATGGTTTAATCCTCAATCATTTTCTCAATTTACATTCTCTTTATGGCAATTTTTGGTTTTTCATCAGACAGACAGACATATCTTTATGGCAATTTCATCCATCCCAACAATGTTGAATTTCTGCCTTTATACAAATATTTTCCAAATCTCTACAACTATCACTTCTCTCATAAGCCTCAGACGATTCTCAAATAACTGCTATACATCTCAATGGGGTGTCTCAGTAGCAAATCAAATCCAACTCAAAATTCTTTCCCTCAATTCTGAAAACAATATTGTTTTCAGCTGGCCAAACAATATGAATCTTATAACTGAACGCATTGCCCTTATTGCTTGGCTACTAGGAAATCCTGAGACAAATTTGTGACTCATCTCTTTTTTTTTTTTGAGACACAGTCTTGATGGAGCACAGTGGTGCAGTCTTGGCTCACTGCAACCTCCGCCTCCCAGGTTCAAGTGATTTCCAAAGCCTTTCTAAATACCAAAGTCATTTGAAAAGCTGGTGAACTTGGGGATGAGGGAGTGGGAACAGGGAGATGTAGGTCAAAGGGAACAAAGTTGCAGAGGGGTAGGATGAATCCATCTAGAGATCGAATGTACAATATGAGGGCTATAGTTAATAATATTGTTATTATAGATTTTAGCTGCTTTTACTACCTATGCATGCACACACACACGCATGGTAGCTGTCAGATAATGGATATGTTCATTGGTTTGACTATAGTAATCATTTCACTATGCATATGCAAATCAAAATATTATGTTGCATAACTCAAATATATACAATTTTTACTTTTTGAGACAAGGTCTCACTTTGTAACCCAGGCTGGAGTACAGTGGTGCAATCTTGGCTCACTATGACCTCTGCCTCCCAGGCTCAAGTAGTCCTCCCACCTCAGCCTCATGAGTAGCTGGGACTACAGGTGTGCACCACCATACCACCTTGCTAATTTTTAATATTTTTTTGTGGAGACAGCATTTTGCCATGTTGCCCAGGCTGGTCTTGAACTCCTGGACTCAAGCAGTCTGCCCACCTTGGCCTCCCAAAGTGCTAGGATTACAGGGATGAGCCACCACACTGGGCCACAATTTTTTAAATTTGGTTACAATTTTGGCTTGGGCAGTGGCTCACGCCTGTAATCCCAGCACTATGGAAGGCCGAGGCGGGCAGATCACGAGGTCACGAGGTCGAGACCATCCTGGCCAACACGGTGAAACCCCATCTCCACTAAAAATACAAAAAAAATTAGCCAGGCATGATGGCACATGCCTGTGGTCCCCAGCTACTCGGGAGGCTGAGGCTGAAGAATCACTTGAACTCAGGAGGCGAAGGTTGCAGTGAGCCGAGATTGCGCAACTGTACTCCAGCCTGGTGACAAAGTAAGACTCCGTCTTAAAAAAAAAAAAAAAAAATTGGTTACAATTTTTAAGTACCATAAACAAAGTCAAAAGACAAACTTAAAAAAAGCTTGTAACAAGGGACTTAATATGTAAAAATTGATTCCATAAAAAGAATTCTATAAAACCAATTGGCTGTATCTAGTAAAGTTGAAAATAAATGTACCCTAAAACTTAGTAATTCCACTTTTAACTATACAAGTGCTAGAGCTGTGATTCTGAAGTGTAGAGTGCACCAGAATTTCCTTTTAAACAGATTGCTGGCCCCACCCCCAGAGTTTCTGATTCAGAGATTTGGGATGGGCCCAAGTTTGCATTTCTAACAAGTTCCCAGATGATTCTGAGGTACTGTTCCTGGAACCACATTTTGAGAACTGCTGCCCTAGAGAAACTATACGTGGGCACAAGAAGACACAGACAAGGGTGTTCAATGTGGCACTGTTTATAACAGTGAAAAACTAGAAACAAACTAAAAATCCTTCAGTAGGGGAATAATAATTTGTATTATTTCGATATAATGGAAAACTCTATTTCAGGATTTAAAATTAATGAACTAGATCTATAGCAACATGGATATCATACACAGTGCTAATTTTAAAAAGCAAGTTTAGGAATGACATGTACAGTACATTATTTATTATTATTTACAGATACATGATGCAGTAAAAGTTAAAAAAAAAAAAAGGCTTGACAGCCTATATATCAGTTTCATACTGAGAGAAGGAGGGAGAAGAAGGAGACTGGGAAAATAATATAAGACACTTCAAGTTTATCTCTCGTGATTCTTTTTAAATAAGGACACAAGAAAAATATGATAATATAAATATCTGTTAGGGATGACTAGTACTGGGTATAAACTACTTTTTCTACTGTTCTGATTTATTTTTTTATATTGGAGCAATAGTGTAAGTATGTATTCCATTATATCACATATCTATTGTTTATAATATACAATGGAGAAGTTTCCTGAACACCTAGTTTGTTTTCAGCTGGCCAAACAATATGAATCTTATAACTGAACGCGTTGCCCTCATTGCTTGGCAACTAGGAAATCCTGAGACAAATTTGTGACCCATCTCTCTTTTTTTTTTTTTGAGACACAGTCTTGATGGAGCACAGTGGTGCAGTCTTGGCTCACTGCAACCTCCGCCTCCCAGGTTCAAGTGATTCTTCCGCCTCAGCCTCCCGAGTAGCTGGGACTACAGGTGCCTGCCAAACACCCGGCTAATTTTTATATTTTTAGTAGAGACGGGGTTTCACCATGTTGGCCAGGATGGTCTCGATCTTTTGACCTCGGGATCCACCCACCTCAGCCTCCCAAAGTGCTGGGATTACAGGCGTGAGCCACTGCGACTGGCCTGTGACTCATCTCTTAAAACCGTAAGCCCATACAGGATCATATGCTTATTCTGTAATAGCTTATTTTCTTAATTATTCTCTTTGCTATAATTATCCCAACTTTTAATCTTTAATACGTTAAGTATTTTTGGAATCTGCCTCAAATCATTTGTAGAAAGAGGTATAATAAGTAACAACATGGTTTCCAGGTTTTCTCAGCTGCAGTGCAAAAAAAATAAGTAACAACAGGCTGGGCATGGTGGTCATGCCTGTAATCCTAGCACTCTGGGAGGCCAAGGCAGGTAGATCACCTGAGGTCAGGAGTTCAAGACCAGTCTGGCCAATGTGGCGAAAACCCATCTCTACTAAAAATACAAAAATTAGTTGGGTGTAGTGGTGCGCTCCTGTAATCCTAGCTACTCAGGCGGTTGAGGCAGAGAATCACTTGAACCTAGGAGGTGGAGGTGGGGGTTGCAGTGAGCCAAGATTGTGCCACTGCACTTCCAGCCTGGGCGACAGAGGAAAAAAAAAAGTAACAACAAATCATGCAATAGTAACTCAGCTCACAAAGATTCACTGACTACTCAAATAATAAACAAGGAGATTAATAAACTACAGTTGCGCCTTCACAGAGTAATACTAATAAGTGGAATGAGATGCTATTCCCATGGTCATAAACACTTATCTTACAGGAATTTACAATTAAAGCATCTATGAAATCACAGATAAGCTAACAGTCATATACATGGTGTGCTGTCTCACTTAAACTAATAAACTAAGCACTGCAGTGGCATTTGGGCCTCCCTGGCTTGAGCAATTCATGATTCCATGATAATATGAACAAAAGAGGCCAAATGCTACCATCGTCACCTCCAAGATAGGTTTGCATTTGATAGGAAAACACATACTCAAAGAACTGTTTATTTTTCCATTAACAAGTAAGTATAAATTAGCTAGTTTTACCTTGTAAATGGCCCAATTATCGTTAATGGCCAGAATGAAATTTCAAAATTCCTACTTTGGGACAGGGTGGCAATGAAGGTTTGACTTTATGTGTTAGTTAAGAACAAAACATTTGGCTCTGGAGAGGTGGATTATAGGCACAGCTCTACAATGAGTAATCATAAAATACTAATTTGAACTTATTTTGAAGTTAAAAAATACTTCAAACTTATCTAACAATGAACAAATTATGAATTCTCTAAGCCCAGGGAAAGGCCAAATTTTAAAAACCAGTTTATTTTAATACCTTAATTGTTGCTACTGATCCTTGGTTCATGATTATAACTAGAAAAAAGAAAATACTACTTTGATCTTGACCATTTTTTCCCACCTATTTTGTTTCTGACTTATTTTGTAGCTACTTCTTTTCCTTTCTTCTAATTTTCAAAAATCCATAACCCCACAGCCAGCAGAACTAGAGAATCAGTCTCAGACTCTGAGGAGCTCTAACCACACAACCTGCTGGGAAGAAAATTGACTAGGACAGCACAAGTCTAATTAATTTCACTCATAGCAGGAACCATGGGCAAAGGGTTCATCAGCAAAGTAGCCTGGTGCTACATGAACTCTCTAGCACTTCATGCCAATTGCTGCAGATGACCAGCAGAAAAATATTTTAGAAAAGAGGAGATCTACCTGAGGGTTAGTGTTTGAGAACCTCCACAGTAGACAACTAAAGCCAAAATATATTGCTCCTGCCTTCAAACAAGTTAAGACAAGTCTGTCTGCATTCCCTATTAAGAAATTTATTTTCCAAAGCTTACCAAACTTTCTAGTACACTGAAACTCTGAGGCTGAACATATCTATTATATGCCACCATTTATTTTCCTGTTTACTCTATTAAATTCTGACCTGTGAGGACAGACCTCTTTGAGTTACATCAAAAAATACACTTTAAAATATCTCTGTCAACTGTAATACTGCTTAATTTCCAATGAAGGTATTATCAGCTAGTAACTAATAGCAGTCTCTAACAGATTGCCTCCTAGTGGGTATGGTAAGACCATGAAGTCATTAACCACTTTTGATGTGACTCAAGTCAACAATACAATTTCTAACTAGAACATTAAACTTTGGAGGACAGACAGAAGGACAAACAAAAATGCATTACAGGTTGAGTATCCCCGATCCAAAAAGTTCCAAAATCCAAAGTTTCTGAGCACTGACATGACATACTCATTGGAACACTTTGGATTTCAGATTAGGGATGCTGAACCGTTAAGTACATAACGAAACTATTCCAAAAAATGTAGAAAAATCTGAAATCCAAAACACTCCGGTCCCAAGCATTTCAGATAACGGGATATTCAACCTACAATGCTGTTGTGATGCACAGATAATGCTTTCACAACTGAACCTATGGTGCATTTCTTTTCTGCCTTCTTTTATACTTAGGAACACTTCTGCTGACTCCTGTAGACTTTAAGCTCCTTAAATAGAACCTGCAACTTATTCTAACTATCCCTTACAACCTAGCACATCCTGCCTGGAACTCAATGGAATCAGTAAAATACTCTGTTGAAGGTCAGGCATGGTGGCTCACGCTTGTAATCCCAGCACTTTGGGAAGCCGAGGCAGGCAGATCACGAAGTCAGGAGTTCAAGACCAGCCTGACCACCATAGTGAAACCCCTCCTCTACTGAAAATGCAAAAATTAGCCAGGTGTGGTTGTGTGCGCCTGTAATTCCAGCTACTCAGGAGGCTGAGGCAGGAGAATCACTTGAACCTGGAAGGCAGAGTTTGCAGTGAGCCGAGATCCCACCACTGCACTCCAGCCTGGGCGACAGAGCAAGACTCCATCTCAAAAAAAAAAAAAAAAAAAACTCTATGATGATTGAAACACTCATCCAGCTGCATTCAAGTTCATTAAGTTTTCTGTTTCTTTCACATACCTCTAAAACAGCCCTTTGAACATGCTGAGTATGTAAGATTTATAATATAATGAGAATAATTAATTTCAAAAAAATTATATTACAAAGCCAAAAACTCCCAGCCTGGTACCTCTAATTCTGGCCCTGATAAAAGTCAGTTTTTCATCCAGTATCCAGTATCCAGTATATATTACACAAGAGGAGAAAGACTTTTTATAATTTTCTTCATTTGAAAACACAAATCAGTAACTAATCTGAACTAAACTCTTACATAATCAGAATTCTTTCAAGACAGAAGACAAATTCCCTGTACAATAAAGGAAAATATTTCAATAGTTTACTTTGCAGTATTTACAGAGCTAGGCTGAAACACCCTCTGAAAGTGTTACATAGACAGCTTGTGCAGTCACTTTTCAAATCTTTCACCTATTTCCCATGGGCATTTCTCCATAGTAAGTCTAATCTATTTATCCAGAAAATTTAAAAACATAAAATCAATCAGTTAAGACAGAGGCATGAATCTGATACATGGTATCTATGAATCAGCCTTACTTATATCCATCAGTTTTAAGACAGGAGTTAAGATTCTGAAGACATTCGACTGAACCATGAAAACTGTTATCTTATATAACAAAAATAGTTGAATATCAGCAATTTCATATGGTTGAACATAATACACAGCATGTACAAGCTAGATGACTAGGAACATAGCTTCTTGCCAGAGAATGTTAGGGACTTTTTAAAAGCCTAACACTCTCTCTGTTTCCTTCTAGTTTAAAGCTTTGTACAGTTTCCAAATAAAGAAAAGCCCCAGTGTCACAACTATTTTAAACCTGAGATGTTTGCATTTTCCAAAACAGAAGATGCCAAAAAGATGGATGACAATTGAAAAAAAAAACTATATGACTTTGGTTTACTCATTTTTGAGAAACTAATGTGACCTAAAAGGAGCTTTTTATTTCTTCTGTTGCAGTTTGCTCAATCATATACAGCCCAGGAGGTAATCATTTCTTTCTCATTACCCCAAGGGTAGGTAGTTATTACAGGTCACACTGACTTCTATCATTGCAAGGTTTAAATGACTTTTGAATATTTGTTATGAGTAAACTTTCTGCAGTTCAATCTAGTCCAACAAAATACTAAATGTACTTAAAAAATATTTAGAGACACTGCTTAAAATGAAACTCAGGGTGGCCGGGTGTGGTGGCTCACACCTGTAATCCCAGCACTTTGGGAGGCTGTGGCGGGTGGATCACAAGGTTAGGAGTTCGAGACCAGCCTGACCAACATGGTGAAACCCTGTCTCTACTAAAAATACAAAAGTTAGCCGGGCATGGTGGCGAGTGCATGTAATACCAGCTACCTAGGAGGCTGAGGCAGGAGAATTGCTTATACTTGGGACGCAGAGGTTGCAGTCAGTCAAGATTGTGCCACTGCACTCTAACCTGGGCAACAGAGTGAGACGGTGCCTGCAAAAAAAATAAAATAAATAAATAAATAAACTCAGGGCTTCAGACAGACCTCAATCAACAAAGGAAAGACTGCGGTTCCTTTACATCTTCTATCAGGTTCATGCTTTGTAAAACTTTATAAATTAAATATGCCTGTTTGTTTTCTTTTAAAAAAAAAAAAATTGTAGAGACAGGGTCTTGCTTTGTTGCCTAAGCTGGTCTTAAACTCCTGGCCTCAGAAAATTCTCCTGCCTTGGGATTTTAAGCATGAGCCACTGTGCCCAGCTGGTTTTCTTTCTTTCTTTTTTTTTTTTTAAGACGGGGTTTCACCATGTTGGTCGTGCTGGTCTTGAACTCCTGACCTCAGGTGATCCGCCCGCCTTGGCCTCCAAAGTGCTTGGATTACAGGCTTGAGGTACCACGCCCAGCCTGTTTTCATTTTTTAAATTCTTAAACACTGCATCTCTAAGGGAATTTATCAATACTAAATGAATCTAGAGCTCAAGGAGAAAAAAGTCAACAGCCTTACAGAAAAATGGGCAAAGAACAACCAACAGTGTACAGAAATGGAAATACCAATGGTTCTTAAACATATGAAAAGATGCTCAACTCTCATTCAAGATAAAAATGCAAATTAAATCACACATTGATTCACCCACTGAATTGGCAAAGATCAAAATGTTTGATAACACTTACCCAGGGTAAAGAAAACATTTCTGGTTGGAGTATAAATTGTTACAATCTCTGTGAAGGGCAATGTCTATCAAAGAAAGAAATGCATATCCCCTTTGATCCAGCAATTTCACTTCTAGAAATGTATCCCTTCTGATATATTTTAAATGACAAATATAAAAGGTTTTTCACTGTGGCACTATTTATAAACACACAAAAATGGAAATAACCTAAAAGTTCATCAACAGTGGATTAAATAAACTATAATACAGATAATGCAATAATATACATCTGGTTAACAAAAAAAAGGAAGCTCTATTTTTTAATATAGAATATATACTTATTTTAACATATAGAATATCTCTGAAAAGACATAAGAGTCTATAGATGCTGGCTACTCCCATGGAAGGAAACTGGATACACCTGAGTGGGAAGAAGTCCTACTGTATTACTCTTAGTACTTTCCGAATTTTGAACCATGTAAATATATTACCTATTCAAATAGTAAATAAAACATTTAAAAAGGAATTAGCAGCCTTTACAATTAATTTTTCCAAGTTGTGAGGAGGCTTATACATCAGACCCACAGGAGAGACAAGAAAGGAATTATTCACTGGCTTCCATTGCTATCTGCATAAAATCAACCTTTCATCACAATCACCTGGCCTCAGCATACCTACCTCCCTGACCTTCTCTAATACTCTTCTCAGGTCTGATGTTTTTAGTCACTCAGGTCTTTAACTCTAATCCACAAACACATTGGGCTCTTTCCTCAGCCTAGAAAGCTCTTTCTTCCCTCAGGTCTTTTTACTGCTGGGTCCTCCTTGTCAGTTAGATCTCCTATCAAATGAAGTTACCTTCACAGAGGTCTTTCCTGACCACTCAATCTGAAGCCACTCCCACTTCTAGCCCGTTCCTCTCATCACATTACCCTATTTATTTTCTTCCTTATTACCACTACCTGAAATTATCTTGCTTTTATCTATTGTGTTCCCTACTAGAAGTTAAACTCAATGAGAACAGCATTCCCCTGTGCCTAGAATGGCATCATAACAGGCACTCAGTAAATATTTGTTCAATGAAATTTTGGTTGAAAAACTAGACTCCTGGCTGGGTGTGGTGGCTCATGCCTATAATCCCAGCACTTTGGGAGGCTGAGGCAGGTGGATCACGAGGTGAAGAGATCAAGACTACCCTGGTCAACGTGGTGAAACCCTGTCTCTACTAAAAATACAAAAATTAGCTGGGCACAGCAGTGCACGCCTGTAGTCCCAGCTACTCGGGAGGCTGAGGCAGGAGAATCACTTGAACCCAGAAGGCAGAGGCTGCGGTGAGCCAAGATTGCACCATTGTACTCCAACCTAGGTAGCAAGAGCAAAACTCCATCTCAGAAAAGAAAACAAAAAAGAAAAACTAGACTTCTTCTCTTTTGGGATCATTTTCCCTTAATGAGTTCTAGTTAACAAGTTAAAGTTTAGGAGCTGTTGAATGAATGTAGCTATAGGAATCCAGATATACTTTTAAAACAATAAAACACAGCCAGTCGTGGTGGCTCACGCCTGTGATCCCAGCACTTTGGGAGGCCGAGGCGGGTGGATCACCTGAGGTCGGGAGTTCAAGACCAGCCTGTGGATCACCTGAGGTTGGGAGTTCAAGACCAGCCTGGCCAACACGGAGAAACCCCATCTCTAGTAAAAAAAATACAAAATTAGCCAGGCATGGTGGCAAATGCCTGTAATCCAAGCTGCTCAGGAGACTGAGACAGGAGAATCGCTTGAACCCAGGAGGCGGCAGTTGTGGTGAGCTGAGATCGACCCACTGCACTTCAGCCTGGGCAACAAGAGTGAAACTCCATCTCAAAAAAAAATAAAATAAAATAATAAAACATTTTAAAAAGAAAACTATCAAGTCTACTCCAACTTTAAGATCTTAGTCAGTCCATTACAAAACTATTTACAGCCTTCCCTGATTAAAAAATCTTTTCAAAGCCAAGAAAACAAAAGAAAAGGGAAAACTGCAAGGCTATGGGGTAAGTTCCTGAATCCACAAGACAACAGTGAGAGAAGTCCATTTCCCAGAATAAGTCGATCCTGGTTATAGACAGTACCATTACAGCAGCTGTCAGGAACCAGGTTAAACTCTAAGGTATTTCAAGTTAAATTCTTTTTTTTTTTTTTGAGACAAGAGTTTCGCTCTTGTTGCCCAAGCTGGAGTGCAATGGCGCAGTCTTGGCTGACTGCAACCCTTGCCTCCTGGGTTCAAGCGATTCTCCTGCCTCAGCCTCCCAAGTAGCTGGGAATACAGGTGAGCACCACCATGCCCGAGTAATTTTTGTATATTTAATAGAGACGGGGTTTCACCATGTTGACCAGACTGGTCTCAAACTCCTGACCTCACGTGACCCACCCACCTTGGCCTCCTAAAGTGCTGAAATTACAGGCATGAGCCATCACACTTGGCTTCAAGTTAAATTCTATATATTATAATAAAATTCCAATATATTGATTGAGGGAAATCCTTAGCATCTACTTAGATTTTATCTATTATTTTTATATCTGACACTGGGTTTGATTCTGGATGTATGGAGAAAAGATAATTAACATTTATTAAATACAGACCAGTGTAAATATCTATATATGTAAAAACATGTCTAGGTGTGTAAACTAAATTTTTTCTATACCAGGCTAAGATGTACAACACATTGCTGGCACAGCCAAGTATTTCTCTAATTAAGAGCTGAATTGCTTTGTAACTGTTGTATATAAGGAAAACCTAGAAACAAGCATAGTATTATGTGTTCAAGTCAGTACCTGTAAGATTTTCCCAGTTTACAGATATTTCTTAGGTAAGTATAGATTCTAAAATGATTTTGACGATTAGATATGCACTTGTACATAAAAGCTTACTTCTCCTCCTTCTCCTCAATCTAAGTGTTATAAGGTAATTTTACAGAAATGCTTAGCTAGTAAGGCTCATCTAGATAGATAAAGTCAAGCTGAAGACGAACTAGAAGATACATGACTCTCAAGTCACCAAACCCAATAGGATAACAACAGAATGCTCCGACTCCAAAGCCTCAGTGCGTGCTGATAGTTTACAGGCTTACTGCTCTTCTTACAGTTTATAAATAACTACAAACTGTCCTTATCCCCAAGGAGACCTTAGCAGCCAGCTCAAAGGTTAAAATATGGAATAATTCTCACTTTGGATGGATCTTTTCCAGTCAGCAAAAAAAATCAAAAAAGGGGAAAATGTATTGCCATGTTAAGTTAGGGCAGGGGGACTATTCCCTCACCCTAGAAACTGTCCACTAGGTAAGTTATTGATATAAACATATTAGCATAATTATCTACCCAAAAATACGTCCAGGGAAAATGCAATGCATCTCTGCCGCAAATGTAGAACTTTGTCCTAGAAAGGGGAAGATGTCACTCAACCGTCTTGCAGGACTGCAATTCCTTGGATCTTAAAAAGACTTTTTGAACTTTTGTTTTGCTTTTAATTTAGGCACAAAGGATTCCGGAGCTAAACACATCTGCCTAACAGCATCAGAGGAAAAAATTCCTCTGTCTCCATTTGGATGGAGGATCCAGCAGAATAAAGAATGGCTGCAACAGGCCAGGTGCAGTGGCTCACCCTTGTAATCCCAGCACTTTGGGAGGCCGAGGCGGGCGGATCATGAGGTCAGGAGATCGAGACCATCCTGGCCATGGTGAAACCCCATCTCTATCAAAATACAAAAAAAAAAAAAAAAAAAAAAATTAGCCAGGTATGGTGGCGCATGGCTCTAGTCCCAGCTACTCAGGAGGCTGAGGCAGGGAATTCACTTGAATCCGGGAGACAGAGGTTGCAGTAAGCCCAGATTGCACCACTGCACTGCAGCCTGATGAAAAGAGCAAGACTCCGTCTCAAAAAAAAAAAAAAAAAATGGCCTCAACAAGCACAGATTTCACAAGGTCTGGGTTAATACCATCAGGTGACGTGCTGCTGCTGTTAATTATGGAACCACTGCTAGGAAGAAAAACTCCCCCAGCTGCTAAAAAAAAAGCAGGTAGGGTTCCACACTGGGAAATACCTGAAATGGAAGGAGAGGAATCTGAATCAGGAAACAAACCCGATTATAAAGGAGCTATTTCACTTCAAAGTGGGTCTCAGTTCCAAAAGAGAACATCTTTAGAAATGAAGTCAGAAACACAAAAGCAATCAATCAACAACTTCTCCACTCTCACAAATTAGAATCATGTGTTGATTCCACGGAATGGCTTGGGCACAAATCTCTAGGGCCACAAGGAGTGAACCTGGGAAAAATGAAGATTTTAACACCTCCTACATGTTATCAAAGATTCCTCCTCTAGGTTGAGAAGATTTACTTATTCTAAAGAAGAGCTGAAAAATAATTGGAAAAGGAGGAAGCAAGGAAAAGCCCTATGGTAAGACGATTCCATTTATTATATAGGTTAATATTCTCAGCTGTTTTGGGATTTTAGCAGTTATAGTCTATCTCCCACTCCCCCCAATTATGACTAGGAAGAACCTTATAAAATCTAAATAGTAGACAGATGAAAGAGCTGGCCCTAATACTATTTAAGCAAGTCCAATCTGCAAGGAATTCAAAAACAGAAGAGTCATCTCTTGAAACAAATAGAGCTTATGTAACCCCAGAGAGTCCCCTGGCCTTTACAGAAGCCAAATTCAACAGGCAGTTCTCTTTGGCCATCTACTTCAGCCAAGCCATTTAAAAATATTTCTTGCTAACATGATTTGGCTGTGTAAGGGACTCAAGGAATGACTATCAAAGGAGAAAGTCTAATTAGTCTCTGGGCATACAATTCAGAGTAAGTTCATTAACTTGGAGACTGAAAAGGCCCACCTGCTCCAGAGGATTTGGTCTCCTACAAGGACAACTAATTACGTTCAACACTATTATTATCCAGCAGTACAGAATTCAGTATTCCCATGAGACACTTTTCTTCCTGAAAGGCACCTAGACCTCCTTCCAACTATGAAAGAGAAAGAGAGATAGAGGTATGTTTTTAATCTTCCCCTTTACGGTCTTAACTAAAAAAACCAGACTACTATTTACATAGACTCCACGTGCCTTACCTAGAAACAATCTGCAGAAAAATTCCCTCTCCTCCAACATTATTAAAAATAAGCAAAATTCTATGTTAATGTTACAGTTCTAAGTAAACGAAATGGAACAAAGGATGGGCAGGAAGTTCTCAGTTTTAAATGTTCATTCCAAAATTCATGACTCAAGGAAAAAGTAAAACCACATAGGCAGACAAAATAGGGAAAGTTAGACAGAATGTCTGTCTTAACAGAATTTCCTGGCTCCTAATAATCTGTGTCAGAATTTAAAAGATTAAAATGCAGTAACACCTATTTAACCCAACAAGACTCTATCAAAACATACACAAGCTTTGGAGGCAAAAGTCTCACACTACAAAGTAAAAGTTTTAAGATGCTACACAAAATGGTAGAGAGTTTTTTTCTGTAAGTTACCCAGAGAGAAATGAGCTCCAAGGGACAATATACAAAGGCAATTTGTTCAAAATCAAACTCCTTTTATAGAGTAAAAGAAGCCTACAAATTTCTTTAAGGTATCCCTTTTCTTTTTCTTTTCCTTTTTTTTTTTTTGAAATGAAGTTTCGTTCTGTTGCCCAGGCTGGAGTAAGTACAGTGGCATGATCTCAGCTCACTGCAACTTCTGCCTCCCGAGTTCAAGTGATTCTCCCACCTCAGCCTCCCCAGTAGCTGGGATTACAAGCATGTGCCACCATGTCTGGCTAATTTTTGTATTTTTAACAGTGACGGGGTTTCTACTAAAAAATGATCCACCCACCTCGGCCTCCCAAAGTGCCGAGATTACATGCATGAGCCACTGTGCCCAGCTTTTTTTTTTTAAGACAAGGTCTTGCTCTGTTGCCCAGGCTGGAATATAGTGGCACAATTATGGCTCACTGCAGCCTACACCTCCTGGTATCATATTATCCTCCAACTCAGTCTCTGGAGTAGTTGGGACTACAGGCATGTGCCACCACACCTGGCTAATTTTTATAATTTTTGTAGAGATGGGTTTTCACCATGTTGGCCAGAATGGTCTTGAACTCCTGGGCTCAAGCAATCTTCCTGCCTCAGCCTCCCAAAGTGCTGGTATTAAAGGCATGAGTCACCATGCCCAACCTTCCTGAAAAACTTCTCTAGGAAGAAAAATAATCTGATCCTAAGTTTTCCGTATCATATATTAACAACCATTGATTAAAAATTTAAATTCAAACATCATTTCTCCCCTCTACCATTAGTGTAAAGTCTTATCCTATATCTAGAAATCACCAGAGAAGATCAGAATAAATAGTTCTGGCTTACTCCAGGTAAGAATATTTAGAATAAGACTTTTTTTGAAGCCACTCATGAAAAATGTTTATTTAACACTGTAATTATTCTTATTTTAAAAAGAAAATCTTACATGCTTACCTTATATGACTTTAACTTTTTAACTTTACCTATCATTTGCACTAAAATGAAACAGTATATTATACTCAAGAGGTATATTTTTTAAAGTCATGGTAAATATTTTTATGCATTTCATTCTGCTTTTTCCCGCATGATTAAACTATATTTAAAATAAAACTATGTAAAAACTCACCAAGTTAAGTCAGTAGAAAAACTCTAATTTGTCTTGTCTAACAGGAAATCTCTGTTGGAAATAGAGAAGATGAATCAGACTTAACTAAATTCTGAATCTCATACAAGTCTTTACTTACTTTGTCTATTCCTAAAAGGGAAAAATCTCACAAAAGCAAGTGATACATTTGCAAAGAAATGGTAAAAATTTACTAGCCAAAATTACCATTCTTAGGCCAAGGCGAGCGGATAACTTGAGGCCAGCAGTTTGAGACCAGCCTGGCATCACGGCGAAACCCTGCCTCAACTAAAAATACAAAAAATTAGCCAGGCCAGGCATAGTGACTCACGCCTGTAATCCCAGCACTTTGGGAGGCCAAGGTGGGCAGATCACAAGGTCAAGAGATCAAGATCATCCTGGCCAACATGGTGAAACCCCATCTCTACTAAAAATACAAAAATTAGCCAGGCATGGTGGTGCATGCCTGTGGTCCCAGTTACTTGGGGGACTGAGGCACGAAAATTGCTTGAACCCAGCAGAGAGAGGTGGGGTGAAGGTTGCAGTGAGCTGAAATCGTGCCACCACACTCCAGTCTGGGTGACAGAGTGAGACTCTCAAAAAAAACAAAAAAACAAAAAAAACACTCCTTTATCGCATTACTGGCTCTGAATGTTTTATTTCTTAGTCATCTCTCAAAAAAAAGATTATACTTAGAAATGGAAGTCAGAAAAATCCAAGCTAGTTCTTTTTGAGATGAAGTCTTGCTCTGTCACCCAAGCTGAAGTGCAATGGAGTGATCTCAGCTTACTGCAACCTTTGCCTCGCAGGTTCAAGCAATTCTCCTGCCTCAGCCTCCCAAGTAGCTGGGATTATAGGTGCCCGCCACCATGCCTAGCTATTGTATTTTTAGTAGAGATGGGGTTTCGCCATGTTGGAAACCAGGCTGGACTTGAACTCCTGACCTCAGGTGATTCGCCAGCCTCTAATTCCCAAAGTGCTGGGATTACAGGCATAAGCAACTGTGCCTGGCCAAGTTTGTATGTAAAACATCTTTTTAAAGAAGTGCTCTATGGGTAAACTGCACCAAAGCAAGACACATATAAACAAAGGCATGTATCCTATGATTTTGTTTCTTTGTTTAGAGACAGTCTCACTATGCTGCCTGGGCTGGAGTATACTGGCTATTCACAGACCTGATCATAGTGCACTACCTCAGCCTCCTATCTCAGGAGTAGTGGGGACTATAAAGGCACACCCCACCATGGCTGGCCCTATGGTTTTAATAAATAACTGTGACAATGAGATAGCAGAATAGTGGACACTAAAGACTGGGTTAATACTGATTATACCAGGGAGAGAAAGAGGCTCCTGTTGAAGACTGGAGAAATAGCTAAGCAACACCAACCCCTGATAATCTACCATATCCTACAAAGTAACCCAAAACAGAAACAGGGATAAGAGAAGTAGTAATGCTTCTAGGAGTCTGACATAGGCAAAAAATTCCAGTGCTATTATTACCTTTTGTGGGAAAATAAAGTATTGCATAAATCACAGGTAAGTGATTCCTTAAAAACAGAATCTCTTCCTAAAATGTAAACACCAACTTTAGTACACTGGTCCAAATAAACTTCTCTTAGACCATAATACGTTTTGGTAAACTGAGCCCAGTTACTATGAGTAAACGAATGAGCCATCACCAAAAACTGTGCTAAATGAGTGATGCTAAAGCAGGGCAGTCTTAATAGATACCATAAAATAAATTCACTTGCAGTCAGGATTTTGAGGCCAGCCTGGCCAACATGGTAAAACCCCATCTCTACTAAAAATACAAAATTAGCCAAGCATGGTGACGGGCACCTGTAATCCCAGTTACTTGGGAGGCTGAGGCTGGAGAATTGCTTGAACCTGGGAGGCAGAGGTTGCAGTGAGCAGAGACTGTACCACCACACTCCAGCCTGGGCAACAGAGTGAGATTCCATCTCAAAAAAAAAAAGAAAAAAAAAGCCCTTAAAAATCCCTCATAGTTCAGTTAATAGCAGCAGGAGTCAGGGTGAATTCATGCAACAAATATTTACTGAGTACCAATTGCAGGGCATTCTTTGAGACACAGTGGCAAAAAAACAGACAAGGTTCCTGACCCTCTGAGGACAGAAAGATAGAATGCTGTTAAGTAACTATGGCAGAAGGTATTGACCAATTCTAACAAATGAAAATGAACAGCTGTGATTCTTAAAGCAGAAACCAACACCTTTAATTCATTACTCTCCAATTTTTTTTTAAGTTTAAGGTTTTGGTTTCTCAAAATGTAAAGCATCTGACAATATAGGTAAGGGCTAGAACAGTTTGGCTGGAGAACAATCTGGTACCACCATTTTGGAAAATAGTTTATTATCTAATAAGACTGAAGATTCTGCAATTCTGTGGTAAGTATATGGCCTAGAGAAACTTCTGTACATATTCAAAACAGCATTGTTCATTAACAGCCAAAAACTAGAAACAATCCAAGTGTCCATGAACAGTAGAATGAATACATAAATTGTGGTATATTCATATAACAGAATGCTATATGGCAATGAAATCAAACTACAGTTCTATATAGCAATATGGACGAAAGTTATGTACATATATATTGTTAGCTTCTTCCTGAAAGATGACATAAAAATATAAAAATCACATATGTATTATTCCAATTTATACAAAGTTTAAAAACAGACAAAACTACATTATATTGGTTTAGAATGAATCCTAGGTAGTAAAATCAAAAAGAAAAATAGGTATATGATTATCACACATGTCAGAACAGTAGTTATTTCTGAGCAATAGTATAGGTTATGATCTAGAAGGGAGACGCAGCAGGCTTCTTCTAGGTGCAATGATACATTTCTAGGTCTAACTGGTGGTTGCATAGGTATTTGCCTTTTGTAATTAATCTTTAAACTATACATTAATGTTTTGTGTATTTTTCTATTGTATTCCATAATAAAAATGTTCAACCCAGGCATGGTGGCTCACACCTGTAATCCCAGCACTGTGAAAGGCTGAGGAGGGCAGATCACTTGAGGTAAGGAGTTCAAGACCAGCCTGGCCAACATGGTGAAATCCTGTCTCTACTAAAAACACAAAAATTAGCTAAGCATGGTGGAGACTAGCTTGAACCCGGGAGGCAGAGGTTGCAGTGAGCCAAGATTGCACCACCGCCCTCCAGCCTAGATGACAGAGCAAGACTTCATCCCCCTGCCCCCCAAAAAAAAAAAATTCCCTCCCCTAACAGCCACAATCCTATTCTTGTTTCATCACTTTTTTCTATGGCACATAAAGTCATCTAACATCCTGTATCTTTTTACAATCTGTCTTCTCTAACTGGAAAATAAGCTCTACCAAGGCAGGTTCTTGTCGTTTTGCTGCTGCACCCAGACAGTGTCTGGCACATGGAAGGCCACAAATACTTATTTAATAAATGACTGAATTAATGTTTTTAGATCCTTGTGCTTGAAAGATCAGACAGTAACTCTATAGTTTAAAAAAACAAAACAAAACAAACAAACAAAAACACCAGTTTCCTCTCTATGTCAAATTAACGAAGTTTATTTTACTAACATGTTTCAGGTTTATGCACTTACTAATAGGTCAGAGTTAAGACTTCTAAAAAGTTGATACAAACAGAACTATATTTTCCCTTTAACAAATGTGTAATATTGGCCAGGTGCAGTGGCTCATGCCTGCAATCCCAACACTTTGGCAGGTTGAGGTGGGTGGATCATCTGAGGTCAGGAGTTTAAGACAGGCCTGGCCAATACTGTGAAACCCCATCTCTACCAAAAATTAGCCAGGCATGGTGGTGGGCACCTGTAGTCCCAGCTACTACTCAAGAGGCTGAGGCTGAAGAATCACCTGAACCTGGGAGGGAGACAGAGGTTGCAGTGAGCCAAGATCATGCCACTGCACTCTAGCCTGGGTGACAGAGAGTCTGTCTCAAAAAAAAAAAAAAAAAAAAAAGGAAAGTTATTTATATTATATTTTGACTCCAACCAAAGCAATAAAGGCTTCTGTTGCATATCCAGATGAAATATCCCAAGAGCGTAACCACAGTTAGAAAAATAATGGTTTTTTACTTAGGAACTAAAAAAAGTTTTATAGCAGTTTCCAGAGTGGAAGGGAAAACAAACTCTATGGTGTTAGTGTTCCATATAAGAGCATAATTTTCTTCTAAAGAAAGATTTAAGATAGGAACATTTCTCTGCAGCATAAAATGTGGGATTGATGTGACAAAGGGCGGGTAAATTCCATTCAAACTTGGTGACTACAATGGCAAAGGAAAGATAATTCACTAAATGGAAGTGCCTACTACTGGGTGACATGACAGATACTCCAGAGTATACATATAGTGCTTGTAGTTTGGATGGAATACATCATCTATGTTAAAGCTGGTGTAAGCCTAGGTCCAAAGGTTACGTTCCAACCACACTATTTATTACCTACCTGAACCAAACCCTAAGACAAGAACAGATCTGAGACAAAACACACAGACATCTAATATTCTAGTTCTATTTATTACTCTGATTTCTATTTGAAGGTCTTATTCATTGTCTTAAAAAAAATACTCAGCACATAAATTCTCAAATTCTTAAAGATAGTTGATATATTCATGAGACAGGTGGCTGCCCAAAGTACTTGTTAAGAAAGGAAGTCCTACTCAAACACTTGCAGCAGGCAGAGTGTGTTATTAGAGAAGAGTAACAGTTTTCATTTGTAACACTTCAGGATTCCAAGTGCTCAAAGCTCTGAATAGGAGCCAGGTTTAAAGGGTGAAAAAAACAGGGAGCATAAAAATTAAAAATACACTCAACCTCACAATAATGAATAAAGCACAGTGGATTAGACTCCAGAAAGAAATTTATAAATGAAAACCACTGGTAATTGAAACATATGGTCTTTGAATAAAATTTAAATGTAATAATTCTAATCAATTTTCAAGGTGAAGACATATTTTTTAAATGCTTCCTTTGGCTTAAGAATGCTTCAAGAAATCCTTCTATAAATATCAGCTATGTCTGGATCACACTGAACTCATA